ATCTATCTTTTAAATTATAATAATCAACGTCTTAAAAACAGATCAATTATATTAATATATGTCTGTTTAGTGGTGACGATTAATTCTACTACTTTTTCTTTAGGAAAGTGAAAGTAAAAATGAAGAGCAGTTTTCCTCCAGTTTCATTTTGGCATAGATACAATGACAGTCGTAGACCGTTTCCGAGTTTGATTTCTCCGCTTTTACACTCGGTTTGCTGTAAGTAAAAATTAATTCTATAAAATTTTTGACGGCATAAGTTTTTTTTAACTTTATACGTTGGATCTCACGAAATTTAATTTTTTTTTTGTTAAATTGAGATTTTTATCACTTAAACTGTTTCATACATAAAATACATACACCAATATTAGTTTTAAGTTATTATTAATGATATTTTAACATTAAGATTTTAGAAACAACAAGATAATTTATTTTTCAGATGAAAATGAATCTATATTGGTACATGTTTATAGTAACAGTTATAATGCTTCTTCATTCGGATGCAAAAAAACCTAAAAAAACAAGAAACATAAAAATGGACAAACGATCTCAAAGAACTATTGTCCCTTACATTGATTTTGGTGCTCATACAGGATCGCATGGATCATACGGATGGTACGCTGATTTTCCAGCCCATATAAAATAATGCAATCGTTCAAATGTCTTTTTTTACAATTGTTATAATTCTTTTAATAAAAATTTACAATTTCATCAAAATTTGCTTTTTAAAAATAAATATTCATTGTTGAGGAGTGATTCCTTTTAATTATAATATTAATAGTAAATAATAAATCCTTCAGTTATTTTGATTTGTAATTTTTTAATAAGGTTTAGTATTTACAGGGAAAAAAATGGTCAAGAGGTCTAAGGGAGTTAAACTGTCCAGGCCCTTTTAAATTAAGTAATTAGTGAGATCTATGATTTTTTTTAGAATTAAAGGAACAGCACTTGTATTACTTGGGCTGCTTTCCAGGAATACATTTCCTCTCAATCCACACCTAACATTACATACAATTTTATTTAGTCTTACTGTATTATATCATATATGTGTTATAATAAAAATAAATGTGTTTATATACTAGTTATAAAATAAGTTTCAGTCTGATTTACTTTCAGGTATAGATAGAAATTTGGTGAATTTNAACAATGAGAACAATAGAAACCCGTTTCCAGACTTACTGAACACCCTGTATATGTGTTATAATAAAAATAAATGTGTTTATGTACTAGTTATAAAATAAGTATCTCTCTGATTTACTTTCAGGTATAGATAGAAATTTGGTGAATTTTTTAGGGCGGCTAGAATAATAATTTAAGGGCACCTTACATATATTAAAAATAAATTAAAATTTTGAAGGACAACATTTTATACTACCTGAGACATGAGGTCATGAACCATCTGATAAAAAAGGTGAATATTAGAGTGGTTGTTCAGAGTTAAAAAGTTATATTGTTTTGAATTAGGTAGGTATGGAAACCACTCTCCAGAATATTCGAATACATGATAAAATTTAAAAAACAAAATTTTGTAATAACCAAATAACTTTGAAGTTCCTTGAGTGTTAAAATGGATATTAGTGAAGAGAAAATTTTGCAGTGACATTAACGATAATCATATTTTTCTTCCATTGATATAATTATTTTATCGTAATCTTAGAAGATCTTTATTATTAAAAAAAAAACTGAGATTAAGATAAAATATTCGAATGCAAAATTGTTTGTAGTAGAGTGATAACAGTTATAAAACAGCATGTAATAATACTGATAGGATTTTTAAATTTAATAAATATTTTTTTATTGAAACTTTTATTTAACTTTTTCATCAATTAATTATGACTTTATTATTGAAAACTTCATTAATCCTTAAAAATAGAGCAACTTCACTAGTTTCATGTTTTAATGTGTATACGAGGTGCTTAAGTGATAATACAGTACTATCTGAAAATAACACTAGTACTTTGGCAACTACAACTTCTCTAGTAATAATAAATGATATTTAGTAAGAACATTTTCTAATAGTTTTACTTTATTTGCTACAGCCTGTAGGAGAACTAGATAAACTGTATAAAGTTATTGAATTTGAATGTCGTGGTAATGATCCAGCAGTGTTACGGAGTTATACTCAATTTACTTCAATGACAGCAAATGAATTAGGTATTGAAGTAGGAAAATGGTTAGTAAAAAGTTAAAAATAAAATTCTCTAAAATATTTTTTTGTGTATTCAATAAAAAATTAATAAAAAAAAATAGTTATTTAATAGTGTATGAATGCAATATCTATCTTCTATTCTTGTAAGATAGTCTCAATCTGTGAAAAATATTTATATTATTAATACTCAGTAACTGACAAATTATTAAGTCACCTGAATAGAAGGGAAATTTCTATTTGGTAATGTGCCTTACTTTTTTATTTTTTGCGCATTGATTTCGAAATTTCTTAAATGTATTATTATTGTTCTATGTCACACTAATTTTTTATAACAAATAACTTTTCAATCAGTATTGCATAGTAATTCAAACTTTTTTATTTATTTAAAAGAATATTTGTTTTCTTCACTGTATTTTTCAAACTGCAAAGAAATGGGTTTAAATCATTTTTAATCAAAACTATCTATGATCCAAATTTTCCTAATTTTATAGAAATCTTAATACTTGTCTGTATTATAATTAATATAAATTTTAATGTCTTAAGAATAAGTAGCCTGTGTAGTTAGTCTGGTAGGAAAGTTGTGCCACAATTCACTAGCATTGAAACTTGATTTTATATCTTCTAGCTAAATAGGTTTTATTCTTCTTCATAATGCAAGTTACTTAGTTGAAATAAAGTTAAACATGTAAGAAAAAATTAATATGTTGAGGGATGAACATTCTAATGTTAATAATTTAAGTTTATTAATTTTTAGAACTATTTTCTTCATAACATTTTAGCATATTATTAACATGTTAACATTTATTAATATGTTCTTTTAAGTAATATAATTTTTAATACTTTAGTGTGTATTATATACTATAATTAAGCTGATGTTGAAGTTAGTAATTAAGATCTTTAATTAAAAAAAAAAATTATAGCAAGTCTAATTATAAATAAGACATTGAAAAACCTATGAGTAAATTTGAGTGATTTATTCTATAGTCTATTTTTATTATATCAATTTGAATATTATGCATTAAATTTATTGTTTAAGTTGGTCACCTCGTAAAGCTCATCATGAACGTTACACATTGTTGAGATCTATTCATGTACATAAAAGATGTCGTGTCCAGTACGAGGTTAGGACTTGGTTTAGATTTATTCAGTTCCATAAGCTAACTGGGTCGACAGCTGATACATTTTTAGAATATACCCAAAGAAATTTGCCAGAAGGAGTAGCTCTTAAAGTGACAAAAGTAATTGTTTTTTTATCTATAATATACTGTCATTACATTTATTTAAATTTTTTATAATAAATAAATAAATTTTTTTTAACTCAAATTATACTGGCTTTGGTTTACCAATATTTGAGTTCAGAAGTTTAAAATATTTTATAGATACAATTGTATTATAATAATTATAATACAATTTATCATAATTATTATGATAAATAGTTTTGTTTCTCTGTTGTTAAAAATTTATTTATTGAAAAGATCAAAGCAAATTTTTTGAATGTCACTTTATAATATAGCTGTGTTTATATACTTATATAATCCAACTCATTCTTGAGTTAGACTAGTAATTTTAACCTACAATACATAATTAAATATTTTAACATAATTATTTAATACAAATTTAAATTTCTACATATAAATTAATTTTTCAAAATTATTTTCAATTAAAATTGTAGTCATTTTATAAATGAAAACATTAAATTTTTCAAGGTTTATATTTAAGTTAAATTTTATATTGCAGGTTTTGCTGGAACAATTTCCTGAGAGTATATCATCACATATGGTTCAAGAATAATTTTGTATAATTATGTTGTTTATAATTAATATATTGATGTGTAAATTAAATTAAATTTTTGCTGTGTAAATACTGTTTTTATTTAATTAAAATATTTAACTCAAAAAGCGACAAAAAAATTTGCTGATACATATTTTGGGAATAATATAATGTATGTGTTTAACATTAGTAATGGTAACATTTTTTACAAAATACATTTTTAGTAATGTTTTTGTAACTTTTTGAGTTTTAATATATTTTAGTTTTATAATAATATTATTAATATAATTTTAATTTTAAATAGTATTAGTCACAAATAACCAATTTTTATTGTTTAATTAAAATAATCATTTGTATAAGTAAAAATAATTTAGTCAAATAGTATCGACCAGGACCATCATGTTGCACAGTAGTTATCTTGAGTTCTAAGATATTTTTCAATTTATGTTAACATTTTTATTAAGGTTGGAGGGCCAAGGCTTTTTTTTATTAAACAGTATTTGTAATTCTAAAGAAAGGCTATAGATGCCTATGTAATAAATAAAAGAATTCCAATCTACCAAAGTCCTAATTAAAAATATAATTATAGAATTAAATAATAGTACAAGTTGTCTAAAGATAACAGAATAATTTTGTATTACTTAAAGTGATTGTTTCTGTTTTTTATATAGCAGTAAAAATTAATTGAAGAACACCTTAATAAAATAACGAGAATTTTAATCAAATTTTCACTCTATTTGAGCAAGAATTTACAATGTACAATTAATGCAAAATCAATAAAAGTTAATTGACAAAAAAATGTCAGTTTATTTTAAAACAAAAAAATAAATCAATAAACCTCTTAAGTACTCTATACTAACAATATGTAACGTGTAAACTAAATAAATACATTATACATAGTTACAAATATATTTATGCAACACTAACTATAGCTTAAAATGTAATAATAAATTTGGTAACATCATTTTCCAATTAGTTATTAACTTAATAATAATGGATTAAAATAAAAAAGAAATGGCACCTGTAAAGAAATATAACTTTATAAGAGTTAGGGTTTTTTTCAAGTAAATTGACTTAAAACTTTCCAAATACTGTTTGGAAAAAATCAGTCTTTGGAATATGTTATTAAAAAAATTTAAGTAATTGAATGAAAATAAAATTACACAATGTCAAATACAGTATAAAGTTAAACAAAACAAACAAAAAATTATCACAAAGAAAAACCCAAGACAAAAATCACAGACAATAAAAGTATTCAAGAATTCGGAAAATTAAAATGTTAATTCAAACAGTATTACTTGAACCATTATTAAAAATTTTTTGTTAAATTATGTGAATTATCTTATGGTAAATTTTAAAATTTTTTATATACATTAAAATGCATGAAACCTATTAAATGATTTTTAAATATTCAGAACCCAGATATAAGTTATTGCACATTACAATTATTATTCTTTGTAATTTTCTAAATGTATAAAAATTAAGGATAACAAAACAGATGATTAAATTCTTTATTAATATTAAGTATCAACAATTTAAATATATGATAGATAACCATTATGTAATAATGAGTAACAACAAATACGTGATGATTATCTTTTTGTTCCTTCGGTTAAATATTTGTGTGGTAACTTATATTCTATATATAATTTATAATGATGTTTAAAATATAACATTGTATAGTACAGGGTATATATTTTATTAAAATCAATAATAACAACCCCAACTATGTGCCAATAATCTATACATCCATTTATTTATATATATATATATGAATGTATATATGTACATTAAGTTTTTTTTAAAACAAATTATGATATTTTTGAGTATGGAAAAGAAATAGTCATAGAAGTATTTTCCAAATTACAAAAATGATTAAATGTCAATATTCATTGACTTATGGTTTTATGCGGATAAAATACTTTTCAGTTAAGTATTTTATGTTTATGAAAATTCTATAAATATTGAATAAAAGCATTTAAATATTGGTCTAAATTTTTCATTAAATAAATTTTTAAAATAGCACTATGTTGAATTTTTTGCAAATTTTTTTGTATTGAAATTTTATATTTTATGAAATTATAACTACTATATCAAAATGATCCCATATATATATATATATTTTATAAATTGTTCAACAATGATAAAAACAAAATTTGTACTTTTGTGCTTGTAAATCACAATGTAGTAAAGGGAATCTGAATACAAGAATACATTTGGGGTATCTTAAAGTATAATTTAACAATACAAATGCATTTGTTCCTTATGAAATGCTTAATTGGTAACATTTTTAAAAAGTACGCAAATCGCTTAAACTATGTCTACCTTTTTCTGATAATGGCCTACAAATTGATGTAGCTTTTTTTAAACTACCAAATACAGGAGGCCAGGTTGCTTGATCTAAATTAACTGGTTTTTTTGGCTCAAGTTCTGATTCAAAAACTGAATCATTAGATTCTACTGTGTCAACAGATGTGGATGATTTATCACCACTAGAAAAAGGGCTAAATAAACTTAGAAGTTTATCAACTCCTGTTGTTGTAGCTTGATCAATGCTAGATGTGATGTTTTGTAATGATGTTAATAAAGGCCGAGAGCCCATAACCCATGATACTTTTCTTGTTCTTTGATTTTTTCTTTTATCAATATTTTTTTTCTTGCACAAATCCAAACTATCAACAGTAAGTTCCAAGTTAGTATGTCCAAATGAATCATCTGATAAGGATTCACTACTGGCAGTAGGTGCTTTATCATTTAATCTAGTTACTTTGAATCGATTTTCTTTTGGCTTTTGTTCAGACACTTTAGATACTTGAAAACGGTTACGTGTAGAAGTTATTGATGGACTACAGGCAGGACTAGTTGCAATAGGACTGTGTATTGGACTAGGAGCAGGACTTCTTAAACGTCCACTACTTCCTCTGAATGTAGTAGATAAATAATCATCAGAACCAAGAAAATTTGGATTTTTAAATGAATTGTACTGCATCATTAATGATTCACAAGTGAGAGAAATTTTTCTAGAATCTACATTAGGTATTTTGATAGATTTTGTAATATTAGTTTCATCAGATTTTTCATCTAATATATCATCAAATATCTCCTTATTATGGTTTTTACTTTCATTTTCTAAACATATTTGTTTTATAGTATCTAGTAAATTAGTATATTCTTTTGTTGTTTCCTTAAAAAAAAAATGTATATTATAAATAAAAAGTTAATGTTGAATTTGTAATAACACAATAGAGAAATGGACAATATTTTGCATTTTTTTTTTCTGCTAATATGCCTATAAATTTAATTTCAAATTATTTAATTTAAAAAATCTTACAACTGCAAAATTGATTCGTGGAAGAGGATCTATGTCAAGTCTAGTGATTCTACGATTTTTCATTACAGAATCTTTCAAGCTTTTAATGCCTTTGATTTGTATATTATTGTCTCGTAAGTCTAATCTCTACAGCAAAGTAAAATAATAGTAAGCATCAAATTTCACTTGCAACCAAAAATCAATAACAAATACATAAGTTATGTTTATAAAATAAAAATGATTAAAATCATAAAAGCAGCATTATTATCTTAATCTTATCTATTTAAGATTGAAGTATAGTAAACTACATTAATTTTAACTGAACTCTAAAAATCTTATAACCTTGAGATATTTTAATTTCTCATTAAGAAATTTACTACGACAATCATCAAATTTTTAATAAATGAAGGAATATGAACTGTTTTACTCTTTAAAACCATAATTTTGTTTAATATTTAAATACATGAAGTAGCAAAGCAAAAACTAATGGAATTTTGAGGGCAAATTCACATGTTTGTCTTTCAGAGAACTTCCATGTAGTTTTTAGCATTACACAGCTTATTTTATTTTTTTAATTTCCAATGGTTATAGATAATAAATATATAAATTCATTATTTAAAAATAAAAACAAATTTTTAATACAAAGAACCAGTTTTTTTTTTCCTGAAAATTCAACGATGGAGCCAGTTTTTTATGTAAGACAACTAATAGAAAAGTATAAGAAAGAGAAAAATAAGCTGTGTATAGTATTTATATATTTGAAGAAAGCATATAATAGAGTACTGAGAGAGGATTTAAAGTAAGTATTAATGAGAAAAGGAGTCCCAAAATGGTACATTTATAATAGTAGAGGATATGAAGGATAAGACTTGTACTAGTGTAAAAACTGTGAGCGGAGTAGTAACAAATGATTTTAGGGTAAGTGTAGGAACGCACCAAGGTTTGGCTTTAAGCCCTTACTTATTTTCTATAGTGTTGGATGAAATTCCTAGAGAAATACAAGGAGAGATAATATGGTGCATGTTGTTCACTGATAATATAGTGTTAAAGGCGAGGAAAAAGAAGAAGACTAATAAATTTTTACTTCTCACAAATATCTTTTTGTTGTATAATTTGATAAATACTTAAAAGTTTTAAAATATGGGTAAAAAAAAGTAAAAAATAATGTAATCAATGTAAAGTTTTTTTTGTATATAATAATAACCTATACTCTTTTATTTGAACATTAACTAATTATGTTTATATTATTTTTAAATAATTAAATAATAATTTTTAACTTACTTGTAATGATTCATTAACTTCAAGAATTTCTGATAAGTGTTGGGCTCCTCTACAAGTAATCTGTGTACTTTGTAAGCCTAGTCTTAATATATTTTTATTCTTTTTCATTGGAATTTTTATTACTTCAGCAGTTGAATCAAGTAAGCAATTGTAACCAATGTTGAGCATTTCTAGTTTTGTTTCTATATCCTATAATAGTTATATATTAATAACATTATGACTTATATTTTGCATGGCTTTATTTAACCAAAAATTGGATTTTTAATATCATTTGGAAATAAAATAATTACAACAAATATTTTTGAAAATAAATACTTATCTAACATGTACGCCTCAAAACACAATGATTTATCAACTAATTTAAGTACTTACAATTAAATTAGCTAATGTTTCTGAACATTCTTGATCTAAATTGTTATTCCAACAAATTAAAATGGTTAATGATGAATTTTGATTAATAATGCTTTCACAAATTATTTTAAATCCTTTATTTTGAATGTTATTATTGCTGCAATAAATCAAATATTTTAATATATTAATCTGTATCTAAAATTATGTAGGTTTTTATAAAACCTTTCTTTACCTCAAATCCAGTAGTTCCAATGTTGTATTACACTTTAACAAATTTGCAATTGGTAGTGCATCATTTTCATTTAAATAATTTTCAGCCAAGTACAATTCCTTCAAGGTACTATTATATTTTAATGAAGATGCTAAAAAATTTTTTTGTAATAATTATATTGTATTAAAGCAATATTTTTGATTTAAAGAATTTGTTTGATCAGAGTTGAGAATTTTAAGCTAAGACTTTCAATAATACTATTAGTCCCTCTAAAATTCCAAAAATTAATTTATATGACATTATAAATGATATTTGAATTATGAAAATAATTATAGTTCAACCGTCAATAAGTCTATAAACAACACTAAATGATTCATTGTTCATGAACTGATGTTTATTGACATCTATGATGATATTCATTAATCTAATAATTCAGAAGGGTCACATGCCGGATATAAAAAAATGTATTATATAAAATATTAAATAATTATACTTATAAAATTATTTGAAAACTCATTAAAATTCTTAAATTTAAAGTGTGACAAATTAAGATAACTATGAATCAAATGAAATTCAACTATAGTTTAATTATATTATCTTATAATTAACTATATTCAATTTAAAATAAATATTTGAAGTAATCAACTATTATATTTTTTTTTTTGAAAATAAATATAAAGTAAAAAAATTCTTAAGGATACCATAAATACTTTTATTACCTAATGAAAGTATAGTTCGGTCCGATAAATTACAATTTTCAAGCTTTAAAATACATAATTGACATCCAAACCGTAATGCACGACCTAAAATGTGCATACTTTGTTCACTAAGTATAGTATTTCTTGCTTCAAGTATTTCAAGACATTTGGACTAAAAAATTATTTAATTATTACACATAATTAATTAATTATTTTTATTAAAAATAAAAATAAAACAATAAATACCTTTTTTAACATTCGAGCACATGCTTGCCAACCTCTAACACCAATGTCATTATTGGATGATATATTTAAACAGAATGCAGATTCATAAAAATCTAACATGTCAAACAGAGCAATTGCAGCCTATAAAAAGTAATTTTTCATTAATCTAATGTCAAAAAAAATTATTTTTAAGTGAAAAATATCAAGTTAACTTGATTTTAAGGACTTAAAAAAGTAACGTTTTTAATAAGTATATGATTAAATTTTTATATGCAAATTGCTACTGCCTATTTAAAATATAAATAAAAACATTATTACTTCATCATTTAATCCTGTAGCTTCTACATTGATAGTTTGAAATTGAACTCTTTTTAATATTTCTTCAAGACTCTCACAATCAACATTGTTTAAGTAGACTCCCTTTAAGTCAAAACATTCATTTCTTTCTATATTAAAATTTAATGCTTTTATTTGTGACAGAACTGATTGTATGGGTTGTGTATTGTGTCTTTCACACGATTCTAGATATTTTTTTGTTAATAAATCAGCGGTAACATTTTCTACTATAATGTAAAAGTTATTATTTTTGCATATTTTAAGTTGTTCAGAATATTTGAATACTACTTACCACATTCCCAAGGATGTGCCGTTTCCAAAACTCCTGTAACTATTTGACTTTCATCATCAGGAAAGGAAACATTTCGACTAATTNCGAATGTCAAAAGAAATTATTTTTAAGTGAAAATATCAAGTTAACTTGATTTTAAGGACTTAAAAAAGTAACTTTTTTAATAAGAATATGATTAAATTTTCATATGCAAATTGCTACTGCCTATTTAAAATATAAATAAAAACATTATTACCTCATCATTTAATCCTGTAGCTTCTACATTGATAGTTTGAAATTGAACTCTTTTTAATATTTCTTCAAGACTCTCACAATCAACATTGTTTAAGTAGACTCCCTTTAAGTCAAAACATTCATTTCTTTCTATATTAAAATTTAATGCTTTTATTTGTGACAGAACTGATTGTATGGGTTGTGTATTGTGTCTTTCACACGATTCTAGATATTTTTTTGTTAATAAATCAGCGGTAACATTTTCTACTATAATGTAAAAGTTATTATTTTTGCATATTTTAAGTTGTTCAGAATATTTGAATACAACTTACCACATTCCCAAGGATGTGCCGTTTCCAAAACTCCTGTAACTATTTGACTTTCATCATCAGGAAAGGAAACATTTCGACTAATTGAAGTTTTTTTGGAACTAGAACGTAAACAAGATGGACCAACAGGTACATTAGACAAAGAAAGTGTCTCAAAATTACTGGGTAACGATCTGGATTTCCATTCAGTCATTGCTACAAGTTTAAGGAGCACTAAAATACATTATTTGTTTTTTAACGATTGACTAAAATTGCTGGTCAACAGAAAATATTTTTTTGTAGATAATTCGTTTACAAGCTTACTCCACTCTGCATTATAAACAATAGCGCTAAATAGCGTCTGCACTACGACATCGATTGATGTTAAATTTTAAAACAAATGCAAAATAATACATTAAGTAAATTGGAATAACATGAACTTTTTTAAAAAGTTAGCAGTGTAACACATTATGATTAACAACAAGTCTGTGATTTAACATCACAAATCGCGATAATAATTTTAGTGATCACGAGTAGAAAAATAAAAATTCATAATCGATGGTTAGTGGTTGGCAAAATTGACAGTATATAAGTAACTTTACAACCGCGGTAAGCACAATTTACTNTGTAATGTAAAAGTCATTATTTTTGCATATTTTAAGTTGTTCAGAATATTTGAATACAACTTACCACATTCCCAAGGATGTGCCGTTTCCAAAACTCCTGTAACTATTTGACTTTCATCATCAGGAAAGGAAACATTTCGACTAATTGAAGTTTTTTTGGAACTAGAACGTAAACAAGATGGACCAACAGGTACATTAGACAAAGAAAGTGTCTCAAAATTACTGGGTAACGATCTGGATTTCCATTCAGTCATTGCTACAAGTTTAAGGAGCACTAAAATACATTATTTGTTTTTTAACGATTGACTAAAATTGCTGGTCAACAGAAAATATTTTTTTGTAGATAATTCGTTTACAAGCTTACTCCACTCTGCATTATAAACAATAGCGCTAAATAGCGTCTGCACTACGCCATCGATTGATGTTAAATTTTAAAACAAATGCAAAATAATACATTAAGTAAATTGGAATAACATGAACTTTTTTAAAAAGTTAGCTGTGTAACATTATGATTAACAACAAGTCTGTGATTTAACATCACAAATCGCGATAATAATTTTAGTGATCACAAGTAGAAAAATAAAAAATTCATAATCGATGGTTAGTGGTTGGCAAAATTGACAGTATATAAGTAACTTTACAACCGCGGTAAGCACAATTTACTATTGTGAGTGCAAATATTTATTAATTTAAAAAAAAAACTCTCCAAAACGATTGCCTTCAAGTATGGGTGCTTTTAGGTTTTTTACTCATTAATTGTTTAAGTGTATTTTTAAAATTTCAAGAGTTTATTTGGTGATTGAACTCATCGAAGTCAAAAGTGAAAAAAAATCATTAGTAGCGCCATCTATTCACCAACTAAGTCATTTATTTTTCTCATCATTTTAATAGTAATTTTCATTACCGCCCCCATCATGTATTATATACATCGATATGATGGCGAAACAAAAACACAGGGATAATTGTATTTAACATTCGTGATGNCTTTTACAAGCTTACTCCACTCTGCATTATAAACAATAGCGCTAAATAGCGTCTGCACTACGCCATCGATTGATGTTAAATTTTAAAATAAATGCAAAATAATACATTAAGTAAATTGGAATAACATGAACTTTTTTAAAAAGTTAGCTGTGTAACATTATGATTAACAACAAGTCTGTGATTTAACATCACAAATCGCGATAATAATTTTAGTGATCACAAGTAGAAAAATAAAAAATTCATAATCGATGGTTAGTGGTTGGCAAAATTGACAGTATATAAGTAACTTTACAACCGCGGTAAGCACAATTTACTATTGTGAGTGCAAATATTTATTAATTTAAAAAAAAAACTCTCCAAAACGATTGCCTTCAAGTATGGGTGCTTTTAGGTTTTTTACTCATTAATTGTTTAAGTGTATTTTTAAAATTTCAAGAGTTTATTTGGTGATTGAACTCATCGAAGTCAAAACTGAAAAAAAATCATTAGTAGCGCCATCTATTCACCAACTAAGTCATTTATTTCTCTCATCATTTTAATAGTAATTTTCACTACCGCCCCCATCATGTATTATATACATCGATATGATGGCGAAACAAAAACACAGGGATAATTGTATTTAACATTCGTGATGTAAACTGTGATTTTTGCCATCTGGCGATTTGTTCATGCTCAACAACTAAAATTTTAATATTTTTGTATTTTATTATTTACCAGGGCCTCGGATCATGGTTGACCAACTAATTGTTTGAGACAAGGTAGATAAAATCTTTATTTTCACATGCTTGATATTTTTTTTGTTTAAAAATTATTGAAGGAACATAATTTAGATGAAGTAAAGTCAGTTTTACGCTTCAACTAGTTTATTTTTACTAATTCATTTTTTCCGGTATTTAAATAATTTGTATATAAAATTAAGGTGAAATGTCGTCAGCAGCTGGAAAGCAAAAAAACAATTCTGGTCAGGATGATGAAGGGGAAGAAGANTGTTTGGTGATTGAACTCATCGAAGTCAAAACTGAAAAAAAATCATTAGTAGCGCCATCTATTCACCAACTAAGTCATTTATTTCTCTCATCATTTTAATAGTAATTTTCACTACCGCCCCCATCATGTATTATATACATCGATATGATGGCGAAACAAAAACACAGGGATAATTGTATTTAACATTCGTGATGTAAACTGTGATTTTTGCCATCTGGCGATTTGTTCATGCTCAACAACTAAAATTTTAATATTTTTGTATTTTATTATTTACCAGGGCCTCGGATCATGGTTGACCAACTAATTGTTTGAGACAAGGTAGATAAAATCTTTATTTTCACATGCTTGATATTTTTTTTGTTTAAAAATTATTGAAGGAACATAATTTAGATGAAGTAAAGTCAGTTTTACGCTTCAACTAGTTTATTTTTACTCATTCATTTTTTCCGGTATTTAAATAATTTGTATATAAAATTAAGGTGAAATGTCGTCAGCAGCTGGAAAGCAAAAAAACAATTCTGGTCAGGATGATGAAGGGGAAGAAGAGGATGACGAAGTTGGAGATTTGGTTTCTGCCATCAATTATAACACTATTAATTATAACACTATATCATCTATGGCTGTGCTCAAAGAAATACTTGGTAATATATTAATATGTGCAACTTATTTGTTCATATATTAACAGCTGATTAATTTAACAGTGATCCATGTGTTGGGTTTGGCATCCTATTAAATATTTATATATATATATATGGATGTACATTTGAAAATTTACAAATAATTCCTAATATGTTTATTATTAATAAACACCGAGTTTAATTTTTCTAATGTTTTTATACAAAATAACTTTAATTCACAATTAACTTAAAATTTTGATGTATTTTTAAATTTAATTATATATATTAATTGTAATACATGAATAGCTAATACTCAAAAACTAGTTTAATATCTAAGTTATGATGTGTTAATTATGTATATAAAATAACTTATTTTGTTTTTACTTTTACTATCAATTTTAAACCTAAATAATAGGTTCTTATATTCTATTGGGGATAATAAAAATATTTTCAGACTATATTTCTTTAGAATTTTACTTTAATATCAATAAAATTTCTCTTCATTTATTATTATGACAAAAATATAATTTTATAATAGAGCTTTTCAAAAAAAATGTACCTTAATATTTTATGTAATAATTTTTGTAATTATTCTATTTCTATTATAATAGATTAATTAGAATATAAAAAAAATGTTCACTATAAATAATACCATCAAAATGTCAGGTGACAGTTTTTTATCAATGATAAAGAATTTATCTATAATTAAAATATTAAATTTAAAAAAATAATATACCTTTAATTTGAGATTTCAGGATTATTTGTTGAATAAATGAATATAATTTATTTTATTAGTATATTTAATGCATTGTAATATTTTAAACTGGCTGCTTTAGTATCTTAAATCAAATCAAACAATAAATTATGTTCAATTTTCTTTACCTATTTAAAATTAAAAAATAATATTCGTGTAAACATTAAGTGTTCTCATAATTTTATTGATTTTTTAAGTGCTACTTTGTTAAATATTTTAATTTTATGAATAATTAAATTTCTATTAAAAATTTTACATAATTTTTTTTTTTAGTTGTCTTATTTAAATCATAAATAATTAAATTATAAATAGTGTTATTCGAGTTTAAAATGTTAGAATTTTCACTAGTTTGAAATTATTGCCTTAGTAATTACTAATAATGTAACTCAAGTATTCAATTTATTCTTAATTCTTTATCATACCAATTTTTTTGTTTATTTTTGTTTTTATATTTATTTATTTGAAAAATAAAATCTAATTAAACATTCACCAAGTAATAAACTAACTGAAAGTCAAATAATACTACCTTAATTAATTAATTTGTATTTTTATCCATGATAGACAAAAAATATTATCAAATCACATCCATGTTAGTTGAATTTCTTAATAAGAAAAAAAATAGTTTTAACTTAAATATTTATCAAAATAAACTTGTACATCAGGACTTAGAACCAAAATAATCACTATTTTTGATAAATTTTCTTATATCTTTTAAATTAGTTCATCTATATAGATTTTTTTTATTACATGTTAAAAAAAAACGATTAATGAAACAAAATATTTTAAAACATTTTTGAAATCTTAATTGAACTTAAAATTATAATTTAAGAGTTTAAATTATAATTTTAAGTTCAATTAAAAAATTTAATTAAAGGTTTCAAAGGCTGTCTTATATTTTTTTTTCTGTAATCATTTTTTAAAAATGTACTAATTTACTAGATATAAGAAAAATTACAAAAAACTGAAATTATTTTGGTTTCTAGCCTGGTGTACATAGATATTACTTAATATGAGTAAAATATGCCTTTATAAAAATTATGCCTTTTAAGGATGTTAAAAGAAAACATTTATATTAAAGACTGTAACCTAAAATTAAATATTTTATCAATAATGTATATAAAAGTTACATTTTTATTATTCAAAAATAGAATATTGAATATCCAATTATTTTGAAATAAGCACTCAAAAAATATAATCTTTTTTTGTTGTTGTTGACATGTCAAATTATTTGAGTGTTAATAATTATAACATACCATGATTTAAAGCAAGTACATTTTATCTATCTTGTTATCTGCATCATTGAATGCCAACATTTTTAAAATAATCATTGAGTGGTTAATTAGTAGTCAATTATTATTTAGATTACTTGTTTTCAATGGGGAAGTGTTAATACCAAAATAATTTTATTTTATGAAATTTCACTTAAAATATTGATTTCCTATTTGGGTATTTTAAAAAATTGCATTATATAAGAAGTGTCATTTAATTTAAAAGATGTTCTCAAAAAATACATTACTATTATTGTTTTTAATATTTAAAAATTATTTGATTTATAATTCTTGCATTAAAAAAAAATATATAGGTTTTTTGAAAGATTACTATTTGGATTAACGAGTAGTTAGTAAAATTTTGATAAACAAAATATCCAAACAATATTTTTTATTATTGTAAAGCATTAAGGTTTTTAATAAATATCACTATATTTAATAAAAAATAATTATTATTTTAGGAGCTCAAGACAGTCCTGAAGATGCTGATTGGTTTCAACATTATTTTTTACGACATGTTAATCGCTTGCCATCCCGTAGTCACCAATTTGTTGGGAGAAGACTTTCAGAATGTAAAGAAGAAGATGAGCATGTAGAAAATAACATAAAATCTCCAGTGACTGATGACCTCTCAAATAGTACTTCTGTTAGTACAAAATCTACACCTCCTATATCACCTCCATCTCATCACAGAGATAAAAATTTCTTTGATGTAAACCTTGTTGAAATGAAGTCTCAAGCATCATCTTCATCAACTTTAGATTATGATTCTATGGATGAAGTATGGGTAAAACGTTATGATGCAGAAACAGCAAGACGCCGAACGGTAATAAATGATAATTATTTAAAAATAATTTTTATGTGAGATTTCACTATAAATATGATATCAAATTAAAAGAATTCAATTTTAATAATAAATAAAACAATTACTTATTATTTATTTATTATAACAACACATTATTGTTTTAGGAGCTTGGATCACAGCCTTTGCCAACATCAGCTGATGAATCAGATGGTCATTGTGTGTCCATTAATCGTCCTCGATCAGGTAATGTATTAAATTAAAAACTTTGACTTTATTTATTGTAATTTTAATTGGACATGCTAAAAAAAATAGTTAGATACCTAACATTGGTTTATTATCTGGTTTTGTTTTACTGCTGATTATTTATACTTGATTGATAAAACGTTAAGTGGGAGAAATACATTTCCATCTTACTGTCTATTATCTTTGACATAAAATTTTATCACATTGTATTGTATTCATTCCATTTATAGAAAAAAAGTCAGTTATTTCAATGATAACTCATGGCCAACAAGAATAGTATAGTCTCTTTACTAAAACATACATATTCATTATTATTAACAGAAATATTTATTACACTTAGTTTTATCAAATATTTAATACTTTTATTAATGTATTTATACTGAAAAAATAATACATGTGATGTTAAATTAAAAATTGCTGTATTAGCATTCAAAATACTCTATTGAAAATTTTTTAATATTATTTAAGTAAAATGATAGAATTAGATGCCAGAGATTTTTCAGGTAACATAATCTTAATTATTATATATTTATTTATATTTAGTTTAGGTTTCACCTTATCAAATTTTTAAATGATTTGCATTTTTTTTTTGTAATATTTTACACAAAAATCTATATAGTATAAAGACTTTAATTTTAACGAACTGTATAGCAAATTATTGAAATTTACATAGTTAATCTTCATACTTAACATTCAAAAACAATTAAAATATATACATCATTTTTGTATTTAATGTAGGCACTTGGAGTAAAGGTGGATCAGCTCCGGTTCTTTTACCAGCAGTTGTTGCTGCTCTTACTAAAAATAAAAAAAATTCAATTAGTGTTGAACGGCGTCAATCGGGTGATGACATACTTGCAAAAGGAACTCCAAAAGTACAATTGTTGAAAAATAAATCTCAACAAACACAGTCTCCCCCACAAAATATACAAAATACACAAAAAAGGCTATCACCAAAACCACGTACGGCACAATCACCTTCTCACACTAGAAAAACAAATGTTCTCTTAGATGCTTTTCGACCACGTTCTAAATCTGATGCTGCTTCTAAAAAAAACAGTACAATAATGTTCCAAATGAAAAATTCTATTCAGGTAAATTTTGGAGCCTAATAATTATATTAATAAATTTTATGTGTATTTAATTTTTTTTTTTTTGAAAAAGTTATAGTGTCTCATTTTTATTTTTTATACTATATTTTACTTGGAAAATTAAATATTTTATTCATCAAATTATACAACTATTTTTTATTAATATATAACTTAAAATATGGATTAAATATTTATTTAGTTTAGGGTAAGGCTTTAATTAATTGGGGAAATGCATTTCATACATAGGTGTAACAATACAAAATGATGTATAAAAAGTAAAAATAATTTAATGAAGAAATTTTTTTATTTATACAGATTCTACAATATTCAACAAATTTTCAATTACTTACTATTTACTTAAATGGTACTTCTAGAAAATTTCTGCTTTTCTTTATTACATCATTGAATCATTAAATATTATAATCGTGATAATTTGAATTTTTAAGGTTAAACTTATAACATTAAAATATATCAATTATTATTTTTATTATACATATACATATAATATTTTAGTATAATAATATTAATAAAATATACTTAATATATATAATGAATATACATATAATTTATTTAATTATTTTTATAAAGAAGTGTAATAATTTAAAGTTCTAAAATACTGTGATGCATAGTCTTTTTTTTATTTTATAAACAATTGAGTATTTATATGTTAAATTATATTGTATACTAACTATTAATTATCTATTAAATTAATATATATTTAAAGTTACTAGAGCAAAATAAAATTTAATTAAAATTATTTTAATGTTGACATTCTTGAAACATAAAGTATGTTAATTTGTACAAAATCTATTATACAAGAGCTTTCTTGAGAGATAACCTAATCTATAATTTTACAAAAGATAATAATTATTTTTATAATTTAACTGTTCAATACAATTTAATTAATTATATTTATGTTTAGATAACATTTATCTGTGTTATTTTTTCTTATATTTTATATTTACATAAAAAAAATTTAATGTATTTCCATTTTTTATCAGATTAAATATAATTATCATACTTTATAATAAGTTTAAATTTGTTGGCTTTAATAATAATAATGTAAATGATGACACAGATGGTACCCAATTATTTTTTTTAGAATACTCTCAAATCGCCAGGTTCAAGTGCTCGAAATAGTATCAGTGGATCAAGTTCTTCAACAGACACTGAACCTACTAATTCAGCACCACCAACAACGCGAAATCGTTATAAACAAACAGCAGTACCTACAAGGCCACGAGCTGGTTCAGACAGCACTAGTACAAAAGGTGCTGTTTCTAAAATGATGGATTTGTTCCGGCATAGATCTCAAAGTACTGTAGAAGACAAACGCAAAATTGTAAGTTAAATTATTCATATTTATTAAAGATCTATTTTATAGTTCTATAAGTTTACATTTTATTTACTATAAATTGCTATAAATTTATGACAGTTTTACCTTAGTAATAAATGTGTTTCTTATCTTAATTTTCTGGGTAATTAAGTTAATTTTTATTACAAATTCTCATATTCTTTTTAGATGATCTTATCATGTAGGTATCAATTTTTTTAGTATATGTTTCTTTATTTAATATTTAAATATATATATATATATATGAATATTTTTATATGTATAGGGTTTGGAGGATATATCTAAAAATCAAATGCATTAACATTTAAAACTTATTTTATTCAAACAGAATATATTTATATTCATACTCACTAAAAAATAATGCATTTATGATAACATTTATTAAAAATTTTTTATGAAACACATTAAAGTTAATTGGGAGAGCTTGGTGGGGTTCAGTTCCTCCAATTTAAAAAAATTGCATAAACTTATTAAATATGTATGTTGCAATAAAAAAAGTAAAGTTGGTACCTTTAGAAGGCATAAATGTATAATGATCTTCTATCTTTTTTTCCTCGTCTTAATCCCAACTACTTGAGGTCGGCACCCTTAGCCTTACCTTCTACTTAAACAATCTCCCACATAATCTACACTCATATTTATATAATAATATTTTAAATATTTAAAAGAAAATATTAATACTGAAAAAAAATAACTCGCTGTGCATATGATTTCACAATTACATCTTCTTCTTCTTCCTCGCCTTAATCCCAACTACTCAGGGTCGGCCACCCTTATCCTAAACTTCCACTTTACACGATCTCCCACATCCTCTACACTCATATTAGCTGTACTCCTATTGCATTCATTAACATTCCTCCATCTCTTTTTGGGTTTAATTCTACCTTTACTTCCCTCAACATTCATTTTCTATAACTGTTCTTACAGCTTCCAAATCCTCTCTCATAACATGACCCAACCATTTAAATCTATTTTCTCTTATGTTACCTATATTCACTTTCTTATATAAAATTAATTAATTCACATTCATGAATTCATTAATTTTTAAATTAATGAATTCGTACGAATATATTTATTTCAAATCTTGTGTATTTTTAATACATATGTTTAATTTTAATACAAATGAACCATACACTTGGTCAGATATAAAACTTATATCGAAGTAAAGTCTTAAAAAGTCCTCTCAAAAGTACGAGNAACTTATATCGAAGTAAAGTCTTAAAAAGTCCTCTCAAAAGTACGAGTTTTCAAATTTTACACGCCATTATTGAAAATAGCTATTTTAGTTTGAACTATAATTTCACGAATAATTTTTTTTACTGTCAATGAAGATATATTTTATTTAAATTTTTCTCGTTGTTAGCGTTATTTTTAATTTTTAAGATCAATGTTATTTGTTGGTTGTCTGTTCATTTTATGTTCGTGTCCATGTTAAATTATTTCGTTTCATATGACATACGGGAAAGTTTTTTTTTTTTTTTTAAGGAAATATCTGATTGTCAATTTTGTACACAATTTGCTCATAATTGTAATTTGATTTTGATAACAAGAAAAGACATTAACTACGCTATGAATTATTTGTGGTAAAAGATGTCCATCTGGCTTTTATTAATTTGAATAAGAGAGGAATTTTATTTTTTTTATATGCCCCATCTTGTAAAATTCAAATAAACATACCAGCCTATATTCTGTACCTCATTATTTATTGTTAAATACATTAATCTGTTACATATTAACAAACCGGTTAAAAACTTTTCAATATATTTCATAATAACAGGTTTCTGTCGATTTTTTTGCAAACATAGAATCCAATTTTATATCTTCACACCCTCCAACTCACTATTAGTACTGTGTGCTTGTTTTTCATTTTACATATTTTTGTCTAAAGATGGTGGACATGATTAATTTCTGTGTTATTCCATATTGTTAGTGTCCGCGTACATTCTTGAAGTTGGAACGCACTCCATAAACTTCATTATACCTATATGTGTATATAATTCCGTGTATATCCTATGAAGTAGGGGAATCGGTGTTTAGTGAAAGTGTCACGGAGGACCTTGCGAACCACATCTACTAATTACCCGTTATGCTATTATTATGTACATGTATTTATGTTTAACGTTTTGTTAAACCATCCCCACCCAAGGTCTTTTCATCAGGTTGCTAGTAAACCATTACGGTGCAGAAATTTACGGTTTTTATTATTTGTATTAAACATTTATTTGTTTCTCCGCGGACAGTTATTTTTTTATTTTACGGGAACCGGTTCCCACCCATGATAATGTTATTTCACAGTTCCATCCGTACCACCGCCTCCTTCACTGTCGTCGCCGCCGCCGCCGCCACTGTACGCAGCGACTACAAATGCCAACCTGCAGTTGGTCCGTATCTGTCCGCGACACGGGCGTTAGCTGTTGATTGAGTTTTGCTTCATTGACTGTAACTTAATACATAAATATTGTGCGCGTGCCGGTATTTCACCGCTGCTGTGTAGTGGTCGTGATCATTTTTTTGGGCGTAAGCCCAATATGCCCGTGCCATGTCTTGGTATTTCCGATGGATGTTCAGTCAGCAGCAGGATCCGTCGGTGGCTGTACCAAACGTCAACAAGCCCCGTAGCAGATCGCTGGACGGCGGCAACCCAATCGAGCTGCACTCAAACGCGCCGACGTCGCCGGCCACTTTCCAGCTGGCCACTCTGCAACCCACTGTACGGTTACCGGTTACCAGCTTAACGGCAGCCGCATTGCCCTTTGTACGTATCATTCCCTTTTCGTGTCATTATTGAATACACATTGGCATTTTGTTGTTTATTCACCGCCATTATTTCAACGTGTCGCAATCGGTCGTTCGTATGTGTTGATTTTGTGCAACTGTTTGTCTTCCAGAAGATATATTTAAATAATTAGCAGCTAAAATGTTTTTTTGGATGTAGGAATGTTGTGGTATACAGAAATAATAGCGTATTGTTTCCTTTTGCGTTATCTTCCCGATAACGTTTANTAATAGCGTATTGTTTCCTTTTGCGTTATCTTCCCGATAACGTTTATATTGGTTTTTAATGGGTTTTCATAAAAAATACGACGAATTTCATAGGTTTGTTTGGCGTTAAGCTGTATGTTTTAAATTATGTTTTGATGACTTGCCTTATTTTTGTCGATCGATAAATACAATTCATTTTTAATCGGTGTACGTTGGCTTGTAAATTAGGATTGACTTGTAGGCATCGAATGTTTACTTTGATTTTTAGTGCTGTAATGATATTGAATTCCGGCGTGAGGCCTCCGAACCAGGAGAGCATTATGTTCATTTTAATCTATTTCATTGTCATGTAATACTGTGTAGTGGGGAGTACCGAATGACTTTCTATACGAACATGAATATTTTTTAAGTTAATATATTTTCCATTGTAAACTAATATTATGGTAGAAGTAAATAGTGTAAGACTGATAGTAAAATTATTTTACACAGTTCCATCAAGACGAGAAATGTGTTGGTAAAGCTTCGACTTGGATTTCAAAAGAAATGATTCTTAGTTCGTTGACATTATATAAATTAATAATGATTATGCAGCAAATTTTGTGGTTTATTCGTGTAATTACGCTTGAGTAAATGAACCAAAAACCCTATAAAATAATGTGGGATTGAA